GAGAATTCTGAGGGGTATAACCACACTCCGAAAGAGTTTGACGGTCCTCAATTGTATGCCAGAAACCATCCTCGGTTTGCTTCTTCAAAATCTGCTTATTGATTGGCACCTAAAAATATAATTAATGAGTAAAAATTAAGTAAAACCTTTTATTAATTTTGTTAAAATATTAAATCTTTTATTAAAAACCCCAGTTATAATATATTCTGAAATCAAGTAAAATAAAACCGAAATAAATCAGCTCACCTTTAGAATACCTTCAATTATTTTCTTAAGTTCCAAAACTGTCGCATTTTCTTTTACATCACAAAAAATATGCGTTTTACGACGCAATATTTCAAAAAAGAGTTCCTGGAAATTCTATGTGATAAAATATGCCGAAACAGATCTTTTATTTCAGATCTTATACAATCAACTTTCATTAAAAAGAGTATTAAGAGATAATCTGACATATTAACAAAACTTACATGTTTAAAAATTTAATACTAAGAAGTCACATACACACATACACACACACACACACACACACACACACACACAGAGAGATTAAAATAAGTTGAGGATGTGTGGCAAATAAACATATTTAGTCAAAAATTATCATAGCATTAGTTTGTCAGAAAATCTGTCAAAAAAAAAAAAAAAAACATGATAACGAAAAAAAAAAAAAACGAACCATTTTACTATTATCCACAGATGTGGATATTTGGTCAGACATTGAGCATTACTCAATAAGTCATACAAACGAAGTGAATGAATGAATGCTGCAAATAGAAATTATATAAAAATTGAAATATATAAACTTCGAACACGATTAAATGAAGCGATCAGACAATAAAAATACTGTCAGTCTTTACAGATGCATAAGCTAACAAAATTTTTTAAACCAAAGATTCCAGAATTGAAGAGAAAAGGAATTAACTATCAAACCACAATCAGCGTTTTAGAAAGCAGTTAAAGTGAAACACTAAAAATAATTTGAATCAGATGAGAACTATCCTATTAAAAATTTTTGAATTTTTTAACCAAATCATTACAAGCTCCGATTATTAAAAAAGAAAAAACCAGATCATTAAAAGCAAGAAACATCAAACATAACTATGCACAGCTCACTCCTAAAAAATTCACAATCCCTTTTTTTGCACATGACTGTTCAGTTTGATCATATCAATTTGCTGGCCAATCCTTTTAACATAGTAAGAAATTCATCCAAAAGATAATTTTCATATCTTTGATGAGTAAAAAGGCAGAGAAAAATGAAATCAGAAAATCAAAATAACACATTTTAATAACAGAAACTCACTGTCCCCGCAATATAAATGACTTCATTTAAAAAACTAATTAACAAACCTTTAACTCCTATTTCTATAATCTAATATTGCAAGTTCAACCTCGTTAATGATTTCCAAGAAAAGACTTTTCAATTGTTATGTAAAAAAAAATCACTTTTATGAGTTGGATCTCTCTCTCTGACACTGTATATTTAAATCCTGAGATAAGGGTAATCGATGAAAGCAGAAATTTTACAATTAAAATGAGGAAAATAACTAATTTGCAGCATACCGAAAATATACGATAAACTTCTGAAGCTCAAGAACAGTTCGTCAAATTTTATTAAATCAAAATTAGTTGCATTTTACATTTTACATACAGACAAGATATGGAGAAACAGTAAATATATATGAAGTTTCGAATTTGAAAATAACAACAAAAAATGCTGAGACCAGCAGTTAACCTCGTAAAAACTTTTACAAGCATCACGAAAAAAAAAGTAATATCGTCATCATAAAGGATATTTTTCACTTGCTTTGTTGAGATCAAAGCTAATTTTAGCTAACCATTCTATATGAATAGCGTGTTGATAACATATAAAGACGAAAGCATCTATCTATATTTGTAAGATACAATATCCAAATTAGAGTATAACAGGTGAAATCTCTTCCTCCTTTATGACGATATTATTTTCAATATAACGTAAATGGCTTCAAATTATTGATGTTACATACTTGAAAATAATTTCATTTATATGGATGAGAATTTTTACTACCTATGCAATATAAAGACGATACAGTGGTCAAGTGAGCACAAGAATACATTTTAAACACCCAGAGTGTTGACGAAATTTAGAAGAGAAAATATTTATAAATCTTTACACAACATTTATTAAATTATTGCCGATGACGCCATACATGAGCATGCAGAAAACTGATGACGAAAATGAATGTAATATATTAGTAGCGTACCTAAAGGCAACTTATACTTAACGTTTTTGATCACCAAGATCTTCAATTAAATTCGAATCAATATATGGCCATTTTGTTCCTATTATCTCCAGTATTTCATCCTTTACATCACCCTGCACCACTATTTCATCAGCTGCTGTTACTGATGAACCACATGCAAAACGTCCAGCAAATAATTTAGCAGTAGCTTTCAAATCCACATCTACAAATAAATTAATAAACTCAAGAAAATCTAATTACTTAATTTGAAGATGAAATTTCCATTACAACTAAACTAACAATTTGTACAGTATAGAAGTTAATATGGGAGAATTACAGCATTTAAATTTAAATCTATAAGCAAAATCGATTAAATGTTAGATTTGAAATGAGCAAACAGAAAATCCAACTATCTACACCAGTTGAAGATGTAGTTCCAAATATTCCGCAATAAAATGCGAGCAACAGAGAATAAAATGTCAACGTGTACCGAAATACCTTCCGATCTTTCTTTCATGTTAGTTTTTCTTGAAGAAATTTTCACTTTCTAAATGTAATTTTCTCTCAGGTACAATCAGGTAAAATTGCTTCTGTAATCCTGACTGTATCTGTATCCATAAAATTATAAGTTAGAATCAAATTTAATGGGATGAGAAAGAAAAAAAAAACAAAAACAAAGTTACCAAATGAAGCTAGTCCTTTAATTACTGTAACAAATTTGTTTTTTCCACGAGCTACTCGTTGTAATGTAACTTTTGTTATCACATTCTTTTTTACTGCTGCATTTTTTTCGCTTACAATTTTGGAACCCTGAAAAAACCCAATTTTAAATACCAAACCGTAACATTTTTCCGGATCAAAGTACTACAGTGCAAATGCAATTTTTGTAAACATTTAAATTATTTTCATAACAGTTAATTAATCCTATAATGTTCCAGATCAACGAAATATACCAATAAAAATAAGGGAATAGATAGCAATAACAAGGATATGTCATGCAACTGCTAATCTTATCAAACAAGTCATCTCATCATTACTTTAATTCATTCACTAAATACTTACTGTCCCTGCACATCCACTTACTTTGTAGACAGGTAATAATATGAGTTAGAATATTCGCTGGATTTCCTGTCTTTCTCCTTTCAAGCAACCAAAAAAATTTCCAAACTTGTATCACAAATGAAATCGCAAATAGGATGAAATTCACCTTGCCACCTCGTTTTTGATGTTTTTTTTCGGCATCCGTTGACTCTTTCCGATCTGCCACATTCAATTTCTCGAACTCGGATGGTAAGTTAGCTTCTAGCCAACTTAAACATTTATCAGTCATTCCACTGTATTCGCAATATTCAAGCGGCATACTGCATACTAAAAAAGAAAAAAAAAATAACAAATAACAATTTGCAGTTCAAGAAAAAAAATTTAGAACTTTTTCTTCACGAAAATGAAACTGAAAACCTCAATTCCTGAATGACACTGAATCTAAAGTTTTCATTAGCATCATTAGAAGAAACAAACAACCTCCACAGTACTGCACCGTGAGCGGATATTTCACCCGTACTGTATCCGCTGCTTCTCCTTCATCATCTGCCATTCCAATAGAGTTCGAAAATTAAATCAAAATGCAAATTGCAGCAATCCTACAAATACAAACTCATAAAAACCTCGTAACAAATATAAACAAAATTCGCACTCTTGCCACCTCCGTTAAGAATAACTGTAATTGTTGTGCCTTATTTTATAAAATTTGAGAAGGCTCAACATCTGCAGGCTAAATGAACCGTAACATCACAAAATGTATGCATGTCATACTGAATCGAACTTCCTTCAATGAATATGTCTAGTCGATAATGTTAATCTTTATGCTGTTATTAATTATGGCTATGTCATCATAATATAAGTACAGTATAGGCTTCATAGAGTAAAACCATATGTCTCTTTAAACTTTTCGATGGAAAATTCCAAAAAATCAAACAAATGCTTTTTCCAAACATTATATTTCCAGCATGAAAGAAAAGCTACAAAAAGCCTTCATATATCACTTGGAAAGAAAGTGCAATAATCAAGTATTACAACCTAACAAACAAAATTAACATCATTTGCAACGAATACAGCAAACATATGTTACATTCCCTACAAAAAGTTATTGAACAACCTAAATTTATCTAAACATTAAGAAACCCTAATGGAAGTAAAATCACGGTTACCTTGCAGAGATCGATGATCAAGTTAAGGAAATACTAAACAACAAATAGTTCAAAATTCTTTCTTTTTTTCAATAGCTATTGAAAAAAAGAAAGAATTCTGACTATTTGTTTATGCACAGCATAAAAATATGCGAAATTTAAAGAAGATGCAAAATACCAGTTTTACACGAAATTGAATTCTGCCACATAATTAGTATACCTGCATTTTGATATATATATATACATAGAAGAAGACTTCAGTCATGTAATGATAGAATTATAATGCACTTAAGAAATTTGTAGAAGTAAAAACAGTAAGGGTGTGCAAACGTGATGCCAAACGATAGTTAATATAATTAAATCATTATCGAATATTTAAAATGGAAAGTACATTAATAAACGCATCCTTTACATTTTTCTGACTAAATGGGCATTACATATATTTATTTGACGCTAAATCCTATAATTTTTATGAAAAATGAAAAGATTAAAAGCATACGAATAAATGAACTGAGATGAAAGACAACTCTTCAAAAGAAAATACATGGTCCATGAAAAATATACCACGAAGTAAAATGAATTTTATACTGTAAAATTAGAAATCGACCTTTAGAATTTCCCATTTTTGTGTATCTAAATCGCTTATACAACTGCGTGCAATAATATTATCATTATTCTTCAGTCCTGTAACATCCAAACACAAATCCATATTCTCATTTCGTAATTTTCCATCCTAAAAATTTTGAATTATTCTTGTCTAAAAGACAAATAAAACTAAGATATATGTATCTCACATTATATTAAAATAGGTTTTAAGCTGCGAAAATTCAATTATAAACAAAAAAATCACCTTCAAAATCCATTTGTCTTCTTTCTCTTCTTCTCCACAATGCACTAATTGAACAATCGTCTTATTAGTTCCTACAGTATCCCGATCAATTTTTGCGCAAGTTAACTCACGTCTCAGTATTCCATCATTTGTCAAAGAAAATATCTAAATGCAAAAATGTAAAATTATTGCTTAATAATTTCAAGACACATCAGTGCTACGTTAAATTCCTGGAGCAGTGATGGAAAAAAAATTACCTTAGATAGTATTTCTGATTTATATATTTTCTTGCAAGTCTCATTCCTAAGATCATTTGAAAATTACTAAGACAACAGGATGTTACTCTGATGAAACTATAAACTTGGACTATTTCAGGTATCGTAAGCAACATTCATACTGCGTAATTATTTTACAATCTTTGATTATTTAACTAATTCTTGTTCAGAACATTTCAATCAACAACAATCAACTTGTTGTGGATTATATTCAAACTCAAAACATACTTGAGATTGGCTTTTACCATTCTGACATGAAAAGACACAAAGAGGTATAACTTCATCTTCATTACGTTGTAGTGTATCCAAACAAAGTTCACTTGATGGATTTCGCAGCTAAAATTGAAGATATATTAATTCCTGTCATATAACGTGATAACTCAAAGTGCTCTTAATGATAATTTTTCACGCTAAGCACTGAATATCAAATCCAATGGCAAGACCGAAGCCATTTGTTCAATATCTATTGTAACAGTATAAAGTATCAACTTAAGTTCATTTATACTTTAAAAAATTAATTTACCGCGCCGAATGCTACAACATTTTCATCTAAAACAAATTTATTTTTTGCAACGTTTTGCAAATACCACTTAAATGATTTGCATCTCAATTTTTGGCGCAAAGCTCTTCTTTCCGAGAGATCACCAACATCTTTTCCCTATAAAACAAAATCATCTCACATATGTGCCCATGTGTTAAGTAGAAAATGACATATTTTTACTAAAGTTAATCAATTTTTCAAAAACTTACTAAATGGCTGCGGAATCCCTTTTCCAAATTGCATTATCTAATCTTTTCACTCTATTTGCTACCACTAATATTCATGCTATCTAATTCTAAAACATACCTTTGAAGCTAACAGAAAATAAAGACCAAATAAAATCAAAAACTCATCCTAGAAAAAATTTAACTTGCGATTACTCAAAATTATGACATCATTTTCCATAAACAAATTGTACCTTCAAATCTAATCGATGGATATAATAAAATTTTTTGTAATCGTCCATCCACACTTCTGCAAGTCTTTTTGAATTGGTACCATGCACATCTTTATTGTCACCAGGCCCAATCATATTATAAGGATGACCATCTCGAAATATATGGCCAACATGTGAGCAAGGAATAAATTCAATACTTCCACCACACATCCACACCTAAGACAATCAATAAGTAATCTGATGGACAAATTGATGAAACCTAAAATAGTACAGTATTATTAATTTATCCACTAATGCTTGTCTTTTCGATGTTGCACTATTACAATATGATTTTTAAAAAATGACATCTTTAAAAAAGAACCCTAAATGACATTTCAAGATTTTCTCCACCCCATATATCCATTTTAGGATCATATCCACCAACTTCGAAGAAATATGACCTATCTACTGCTAAAAGACCACCTGCCATCGTTGGAGACCTGAAAATGTCGAATAAGATTTGTTTACAAAACCATTCTGCACTCTTTTGAAAAGTTATTGTAATGAAAACATTAAAAATGAAGCCATTGGCAACAAAACCAAGAAGCATAAGAAATCTTGCTGATGTACAATGTGAAAAAACTTTACATTAAAAAATTGGAATTTTGAAAAGCCTGGCCAACCTGATTGGTTCCGTGGGATCAGCATCGGAATATTCCTTCGGCATAGGATCCCACAAAAAATGAAGGCTCCACGAAAACCCACCAACATTCATAGGGCGATCATTAGCCGAATAAGTTAATGTTTCTGCTGATATATGATTAATTATAGGACAAAGAACAGCTGACCGTTTATCTTTGATACGTGCCAACAGTGGCTCTAACCTATAAGAAGTAGAGAACTGAATCTGGTAAAATATAAATTTCTTTTTATAGGTAACAATTATCTTGAATAAGAATTGGAATGAGTCTAACTTTTTAAGGCAGAATGCAATTGCTCATTTATTCAAAGTGATAAATATCTTGAGCCGTTACTAAACGTTCTTTATGAACAAAAAAAAAAAAAATTTTCAAGACAAGTGTATTTGGATGACTAGATTTAGTAAACCTGGAAAGAAATGAATTGCAAAACAAATGCTACACAGCATATTACTGCTTTTTATTATAATTGTTATTATAAAATTATATAAAATTTAATCAAATGAATATAATAAAAGAACTTACCATCCTTCCCCTACTTCACAGTGAGAATCAAGAAATACCAATACATCACCAACTGCTTCTTTTGCACCTAATAATTTCGCTCGTATCAAACCTTGCCGTTCTCGCGCTCGTACCAAACGTACTTTGTTACCAAACCGTTTAATGTATTCTTCTAGCTTTTCCTTTAACTCATCTAAAAGTACGGTCAAATTGCTGCTGCTGCTTACAGAATTTTATATCAGTGCTAAATAATATATATTTGAAGTGGATGAAATCCCATTCAAAAGTATAAAAAGTTACCAAGAAATTCACGTCCATCAAATTTTATGTAAGATCCCATATAATTTATGCAAATGGAAAAGAATTAAAAAAAAATCTTCATAACTTAAAGTAAGTTATACTTTATATCATGCACAATCCTTTAACTATTCATAATAACGACCGAACTACTGGAATATGATTGCAAGACAGATATAAATGCAAAGCTATACACAATAATATTTATTCCACTAATCATTTTTTTAATCCTAAAAATATTACTGCTTTTTCTAGTCAAAGAAAAAATAAACACACTGATAGAAGGAAAAAGAACTATTGATTTTTTGTACTTAAATTTTCAGTGGGCATGTTTATCTTATGGTTCACATTTTTGGGAAGCACTCGATAATAAATAATTAAATATTTAAATAAAAAGCAAACCTCTCTGACTAAAATCATCGACTAGAATGATTTCCTGTAGCAATTTAAGTGGTGTTCTATTGATTACGGAATGCACTGTTCGCATTAGAGGTGACCATGCTTCATCAGTAAAAATAATCACCACAGAAGCAACTGGTAAATCATCAGAATAACTGATTTTATGGCACTGTTTGTGGCGATGATCTGGCAAACTCCGATCCAGTGATATCAAATCACTGCAACAGAAATTTACAGGATATTGAAGAATGTTGAAAATAATAAAGCAGTGTTTAAATCTTATTTTAACGCATCGCATGAGAGATAATTTAATGACCGTAATATTACAAAGATATTAGTATAAATGACCATCTGATATCATTCTTAACATTCTAAACACATAAATATTCAAACAACAAGCATTTCCTACGAGACAGAAATTGATGAAGAAAAATTACCACAAATTTATTGTAATACAGTAACATGAAAGGATTATTGTACTTATTTAATGAGCAAAGTAACCAGTTGTCTTTACATTAGAATGTAACTATGTTAATCTGAGAGTAGGGAATATTCAACACTGAATATTTCGTATATTACTATTTATATTTCTTTTATTATGAACAATCTGACTCAAAACGTTTGTGTCAATACAATTCTTCATAAGAATTGGATTTTCAATAAGCCTTGCAAAAATGATAATGTAATATCAGAATTTAATGTCATAATAATCGCAATAATCATGGCTGCAACTCTCCTACCTATATCGTGCTTTAAAACATGCATTAAATTTTTAAAGCGTATTACCCTTTACAAAACATAAGTTAGAATAATTAACTTTTATCAGGCAGACAGTACTTTTTCTGGTTATATTAATAACCCACCAACAATTCATAAATAATTCCGCAATAAGAGACAATAAGAGTAATAGCTCAGTTTTTTTTTTTTTTAAATATTTTACACAAAATTTGATGTTTTTAAAATTCTTTACCACATTCTTTTAGCTTAAGAAATGACAATTTGTCTTCCTCCAAAATAAATAAATATGTGTTACCTTGCAACCAAATTCATGAACCATTTTTTCATGTCTGCTTCTCCTTGTACTTTTTGTTTTCCTGTCAAATATACTCCAGTACCATCTTCTCCGGGACCGATACGCTTCTTCGAATAATCTGGCACTTGATGCAGCATAACATCGTGCTCCCGCTTGCAAAAATTTTCAAGGATTGAAACACGGGAAAGAAAGAAAAGAGAAAAATCGTAATCCAACAAAAGTAGAACATTTCAACCGCAAGGAATATTCAATAACTTAGAATAGGGCAACCTCCACTGATCGCCAAAACTGTATCTGACTAATAACGTGGATGTGTCTTTTAGTGACCAAATCTGTGTCTGGCTTTTCATTCAATCGTCGTTGATGAACGTGGTGCAGAAAACGGAATGAATCAACCACCGGATTAGGTAATGGCGATATTTGTTATCTGGCTGATGAAATACATTTAAACTTAACAAAATATAAATTTCTAAATAAAAATGCATACTTTCCGTGCAAGAAATTGAAACTGCAAAAGATTACGTGCATAGAATATTACGAAAAGGACGAGCATCATAGCAAACATAACGTTTAGTAATACGGTTGCTTTGTAACGTGGAATAAAATATCGTATCATACTGCAAATTATATAAGTAGAAGAAATAATTAAATAACTAAAAATTTTAAATCTGAACTGACTGTTTAAATATAACATAATCAAATATAACACAATGAAATGCCTTAAACACGAGGAACTCATAAGCAATTAGCTAAGTAAAAAAGATAACATTTAATGATTAATTAAAAATTAAGGCGAAAACCTATTTAAACAGTGTAACCATTAAGAAATTGAATATTCGATTAGGAAATGATGTAACATATTTAATAGTATCATCCAGTAGAAATAAGTTTCCACTAAAATTTAAGAAGTAATAATAATAGCAACAGTAATAATAAGAGTAATAATAATAATAATGATTAATAATAATGACAATAGTAATCAAATACTTAAATTTATTATAGCCACAACATAAAACCCCAGAAACCTGCCACCAGGAACCACCAACCATCCCCAAAACATTTAACAGAAAATGGCAAACCAAAAAGTCATCCAAAAAAAACAAAGTCACCAAATTCTGGCCTAAGTAGTGCAGCCCGGTCTCTTGATTAGTGGTTCATTGTGAAAATTTCACAGATTAATTCATACAATCTTATCTGCGATTTGTTAAGTTTTAGTATTTATTTGTTTATATTAGAATAAAAGCAAGAATAAATTGAAAATGAAAATATTTTTTTGATCAATCGAATGGCTGATGACTGATTATTTAAAATGATTGATTATATTAAAAAAGGAAAGGTTATTATAGGGAATAATTAATCATAATGATAATGTTATATTCAACCTGTTATCCTCTTATAATTTCTTTTTTTTTTTTTATTTTTCATTTATAATCTTCTTCTTTTCGAAATATATATTATCGCATATTTATTATTCATATTTCGTTTTTTCCCTTTTATCTTTCTTTCTTTCTCTCTCTCTCTCTCCCTCTCCTCTTCCCTCTTTATCTACATATATCGAGAAAAATTATGATAAATCTTATTCGATAATAAAATCATCGTTTAAATATGAATGAAATAACTTTAGTTTAGAAATGATAAGGTAGGAAGTAATTATTACTTCTGCTATTGTTTCATTATTTTAAATTAATTAATTACGAATGAGTAAGATATAGAATAAAAAGATAAAATAAGTAAAGTTGAATTTTTATCAAATTGATGTAATCTAATCTGATAAAAGCAATATGAAACATATATATATTAGTTCCTTCAGTTGTTTTTTTCCTCTTTTTTCTTTTAAAATTTTTTATTTTTGATCATTTTTACTGATTGGTTGTATCCTAGCATCATTTTGCTCTTGTCTAATCTCTTGAGATTATCAATATTTTATTAATTTTATCGATAATTTTAATCATATATGTAGGGAGAGGGAGAGAGAGACAGGGCGACAGAGAGAGAACAGTATAAAAAATCTGGCAGAACGATCATTTCTGATATTTCAGTATTTCATATTTTTTTTTTTAGCATTAATTTTCAATAATAAAATTGCATTTATTGAATTACAAAATGTTCTGAAAACGAACTTTCAGTTATTTTAAAATTTTTGACTTTTATAAATTGCAATGATTTCATCAAAATTGTTGAATGGAAGAAAAAGCATAAAATCTTTTTAAATTTAAATTATTTGTTATCAATATTTCCAAAAATTTCTTTTATTTCACTGACAAATTTTTGCATTTAATCTTTCTTCGTCTTTAATTTTCTGACATTTCCTACATTTGCTTATTGTTTCTATTTCTATCAAAGAAAAAAATGGTACAATTATCACAGAAATTAATGATTTTCGTATATAAATAATGGTAATTTCTTTTTTTTTTTCATTTAATATTTTTCCATTTTTGTTAAATAATTTCTCTCAAAGAGTAATTAAAATTGAAATTCAAACTCATTTATCATTTGTATTTATTGAAATAACACTCAAGCACATATTTATACCATTTTTCCTACTTAAAATAAGCACATTTGTATAATTAAAAGAAATATTTTCATTTTTCAAAAAAAAAAAAAAAAATCGATTAATTCAATTATTTCTTCAAATAACATAATTTTCACTTACTTAAAATAGTTGCTAACAAAAATTACACTTTTTTCTTTAAATGAAAAAAAGAAAGAGCAAATTACAAATGTGAAATGTAATGAAATAATTTGAATCTATATCTTATTAAATTAGCCAAGAATATTATTACCCAAGTTTTTATTTCTTCATCTATAGTGATAGTAGGCCAAGCAAACTGTGGTGCTGATCTTTATGTTATACAAAAATACAAAATGAAAAAAGAAAGGGAAAAAAAGAAGAAGTGCTATCTGAATTATTTAACTAGGCTTAATTTTTGAAATGATAATAGCCTAATGCAAATAAATTAATTGTGGCACAAATGTGACAGTGGTGAGAGAGAGAGAGAGAGAGAGAGAGAGAGAGGGGAAAAGAAAAGAAAAATTGAAAATGCTACCTATCAGAATTAATTTTCATATCTATGCTAAATATCTAAAAAAAAAAAAAAAAAAACGACTGAGAAAGGAAATGTTTATGTTAAAATATTTGAAGATTAATTAGTAATGAAAAAGAAAAAGAGAGGAAACAAAGAAATTATCAAATTTTACATTTTACAAGTATGATAGCAATATTAAGGAAAGAAATAAATTTAAAATGAATTATCACTGATTTAATATTATCAATGCAATCATTATAATCATTCGTATTCCCCAAAAACTATCAATTGCTGAAAAAAAAAAAAAAAGGAAATGAAAGAGTTCATAAAACATACTATTAAAGTTTTGATATTATTTATCAAATTTATTAAAATCTATAATAATGAATTTGTTAAAACTCAGAAACAAAAAAAAAAAAAAAATATTTATTTAATTTGAAAAAGAGGGAAGAAGAAGCTAAAGAAAATAGAAGATTGATGATACACTTTTCTTGCTCTCACTATTTTTTTCGATTTTCAACTATTTCGATAGTTGAAAGTCGAAAATAAACTAAATAGATGATAAGAACTGAAAAATTTTCTAATAAATTTTTTAAATTAAATTAATCTATAAATTGCAAATAAAATTGATTTTCACGTATAAATTTTAACTGCACATTTTATAAATGATAACAATCATTTTTCCAATTGAATGATAAGAAGGGTTTTGCGAATTTTCATAGATGACATATAGGTGACAATACTACTAAAAATGTGAATGTGCTAGCAAAACGTGTTAAAATGAAATTATTTCTAATCTTTTGAAAACAAAAGGTTAAGTAAATGACCCTTCTTCATTTATAGAATGACCTTTTCTTTATATGGGATCATAATATAACATAATAACAACGCTATTTGTTATATTTTTGCATACATTCAATTTGACCTCAACTTTTGCTCCAATAAGATTTTTTTTTCTTTTTTTCTTTTTTTATTACTCCTTGCATCATCCATCATCATTCATTCGCGTTTTTCATCTCACAATTCTTTTTTGATTACTTCTTCCGAAAGTACTGAAAATATTTTACCGTTTATTTAAGCTAGAAATTTTTTAAATAAATTTAAGAATTTTTTTTTTTTAAATTGCTTTCCTATTTTCTTAATTACATTTACCTTAACACTAAAACTTTCTCATCTTTGAGATTCTAGCATAAATAAATCATAAAATTATTATTCACTCTGCATTAATTAATCTATATGAAGGTAAAACTTCACTTAATTCCAGAAAATAAAATCTCATCAACTTTTGCAAGCTAATATCTATAATATTGTTGGTTACTAGCATAAAAAATTTTTAAAAATAATAAAAATAGCTTAAAGAAGTCTTTTCACCCCAAAATTGCCACATTTCTTGCTAAAGACCACACAGTAAATTTGTTAATTTCAAATTAATTCTTATGCCATGCGATTGACACTTCTTTGCAATCTTTAGATAGGTGATTAACCTTTGACCTGAATAGAACTTTCCATATCCCACCGACAACAATCGATCTAACCTTCCCTTTTGTTCTTTGATCAGCAAATATTAGCATAACTGTTATGTTTATGGATAATTGTTAACTATCACATCAAACTGATTCATTATGAACTACTCCGGCTATCAACCAACATACAAAGTAAATTTTTGAAAAAAAAATTAATCATAGTTTTTCATTAAAAGAACTGAAAACTCATTTTGTTATTAGCATTCCATTCCGGTTATTCGGAAAAATTCTTTAGGAAATTTGCATTGTTAGCTTGTTTCATTGATTAAATAAAATCATGCATATATTAAACAATATCTTACATAATAATTTATAATGGAAGCAACGAATTTAAAAAGCAAAACAGATCTTTTTACTACAATAAATAATAATAATAATTAATTATAATATTTTCTAGTAAAACAGAACAAAAAGGAAAACAATGAATAACAATGAAAGATACGAAATTCACTGACACTTTATTTGTTGCGAAATATTAACAATTTCTGGGAAAAAAATAGACAATAATTTAAGAGAAAAGAGCCACTTTGTTGCTTAAATTTATATTTCTCTCAATAATCCTTTCAATAAAACCTATCTCCAATGATT